ACTTGCAGAGTTAATACCATTTGTTCATCTTCATTTTGAACACCATAACTGGAATGTCTAAACAATTTTAACTTAGCACCACAGAACTGAATAAACATACACATCTTGGTATGGCGGATTGTCACATAATACTTATAGATCCCTCAGCCCTTTACTTGCAGAGTTATGGCCCTTTATAACCTGAACCAGTTTTGGGCAGCAAACCTTTATAGGACGAATTGTATTTCAAGTAATGAAGCACGAAATTAAGGGCCTCTGATTTTGATTTTTGATTTTTTTTTGCAAGCTACAACATAAACGGTTTGCGACTTTATGTCACATGCATTCCCTTTATATAGATTATGGCCCTTTGTTGTCTGGCCAAGATAAGCAATAACTATTCCGTGTTTGAACATGTACTAGATTACAGGTACCATTCATGAAAAATGCATCCTATTGGAATAATGTGGACGTGCAAAATCGCAAATATCAAAGCTCTGCCTAATTTGTTCTGTTATACTATATCTCAGCTTCTTTTACATTAAATGACATCAAATTATTTCATATGAAGTTCATGGGAAGGTGGTGCCTCACAACCTAAAACAAGGTCACTGTAACCAACATTTGACCTTTGACCTTAAACTTGATTACTGAAATAGTGGTTCCCAGACCATATCTTAGCTGCTGTTTCATAAATGGGCAATACATATTTCATTTAGGCACATTATGAGAAGACGGTGTGTCACATCCTAAAACAAGGTTTATGTGGTTTCAATATGATCTTCACCTTCAGTTTTAAAGCATATCTCATAATCTCAGCTACTGTACCCTACATGGGCATCTCACCTTGTCTAACGGCACATAATGAGAGGGAATGTGTGTAAGATCCCAAGGACAATGTTACTGTGACCGACCTCAATTTCACCTTTTACCTCGAACTCGAGTCCTGAAATAACGATTTCCAGAGAATGTCTTGACGGCTGTTTGATAAATTGCCTTCAAAACTGTTATAAAGGACCATCATAGGACAGTGGCATGCCCATCCTAAATCGAGGTCACAGTGACCTCAACTGGACCTTTGGACGAACTTGATCTCAGGTACTGAAATAATTGTTTCAATGAAGCATATCTAAACTGTTGTTTAAAGGTCAATTTGACCTCGATCTCAAATACTGAGTGAGATCTTAAATCTTTGTTTGCGAAGCGAAAAGTTGCCAAATGGTCAAAAGATATCGCAAGGGGTACGTTACGGAATCATTATTGCCAGTGGAAATTTATAATATTACCGGGATCAGTAAAAGGGTATGATTTAATTATATTGCTGAATTAAACGATTTTGTTATGTTTTGACATGACAAGATTTGAATTAGTACTAATATGAATACCCGGCCTCCTCTGGCAAGACGACGCAATATATATAAAAAAAATCGCTCTTCGTCAGAAAACTACGTTATCGCAGCTAGATTAAAAATGTCAAAATGACGGACCAGGATGAATAACTGAGGAAGGATAACCTACTTCTAGTAAAAAAGATCGCATAATAATTTTGTTTAAATCGTAATTTTTCAACAGTTCATGTTTTCATATGATGTTGACTTAGAATGTATCATCATGCAACAACCTTTTCTCTATAAAGAATTAATTTTCGATTTCAGGTAGAATCGGAATATGTATTGAAAACAGGGGAAAAAATATGTATTACGTTGTAAAAATGGCGCGTGCTGCCGATAACTACGGCTTCTGTTTCGGACAAAAGGAACTGATTAAAGAAAAGTTGTCTCAACACAAAAAAGGTCCATTTACAAGTATGCTTTAATCTCTGTAAAGTATTGAAAAATATAATTATCAAGTATCTCATCTCAACACTTTCCATATCTGACACATATTGTACATGTACACGTAGTGGTTTTGCCATACTGTTTATTGTGTGTGATGGCTAATATGACTTACTAAGTGTTAGCATATGGAGACAGTGAAAGTGGGAAAGAGAGTATACATACATGTATATGCATGGTCTAGAAAAAAAATGGCCAAAGACATTGAGTTGTACAATGTAATAAAACAAATCACAAACGTTTCTCTTTTTTATACGCGTGTAGTTTGTCATGGCATATATGCACTTTATGTAAACATTTGAAAAGGGATATTCGTCTCGTCAATATTCCTTTTTACAGAAAGGTTTATCCCATGGTTGAGGGAAGGTGTTTAGCCCCGTACCAACTGTACCGGTCACATTCCGGTACTAAACTCAATATATATTTATATATATCTACTTTATGTGTATGCCTATTATCATTGTTGACATTTAATTGTAAATGTATGACGGGAGAATGCTGTGATACATTGTTAAAACTTCATCCCTGGTTCAATTTTATTAGCAACAAATATTGGCAAGTGTGCAATTAACTTCTGATGATGAATAATTATTGTTCAATAAGTTTGAATACGGACTTAGAAATCATATTACTTGGTTCCATAGTGCGGTAAGAAAATGCAGTTGCCTGACGGCCCCTCTCTGGGGGCCCCTTTGGAAACCGTTTCCTGCCTAGTCAGGTGACGTTATCGGCGCTATTTTTAGCAGTGCTTTCCCGAACAATTCAAGTGGTCAAACTGGACATATAGAACGGACTATGAATATGGGGGTAGGGAGGAAACATAAGTGGAAGTGCATACAATACATACATTCATTAAAAAAATAAGGCTCTTCACGTGATGTCCCTTTAAGAGTAGAGATATTGATGCTGTACATTGCAATTGCTGGGCATGAACAGTTTACACTTATGCTACCACAATAGTTCCAGGGCTCAGCCCCTGACCCTGGTGATTTGGTACAGCATCTTGACATTGAAATAGTTGAAACTGCAACCCTATAACCATACCTGACCATACTGCAGTCCTAAAACGAGAAGCAGGCGTTGTTATTATAATGATTCTTTCCGCTTCAGTTTCAATGCGCTTAAATTTATATTTCATGACAATGTAACATTCAATTTTTTTTCAATTTCAACAAATTTTATTGACAATATAAGCAATAGTCAATAGGATCAGACATCAGGCATAGCCTATCTAAGTCCTCTCCTTAAAGTGACAACAGGTGGTAAGAAACACAGACATATATTTGTACATTGATATGATGTTTGGGATAAGGGGAAGTAACTCCTTGATGTAAACAGACTTGTTCAGTATTCTTGAGATATAGTAACCCTTTCACTAGGGATATTTAATTTGAGATATTTACTAGACTATTATCTTCAGTGAATAGTATCAAGTATCTGACAATGAGTTACTGGTATTCATATAAGGTAAACTGTTGGGTATAAATATTTGGTGATATTGGATTTATTCCCTCAACAGATACAGGCCATACAGTCCATATGTATAACACACTAGCCATCACACACTGTTAAGGATCAAAAGCCAATTTCAGCAAATAGATATATAATTTGTAAGTAGGGCTACACCAACTCCTGTAAGTAAAGTAGTAATTCTTTAATTAATTTGAAAGGAGTTACTCCATATCTTGATGTAAGCTTAAGAAAGAAGGAGAAAATAGAAAACATAAAAAACACACAAAAAAGCCCACAAAAATACACACAAAAATACACACACAAAAAAAAGAAAGAAAAAACCCATCTAAGCTGCCCAGAGCCAATTTCATTCAATAGGTGTATATATACCAGCTAAATTAGTAGTTATCAAAGGTAGAATAAAGTATCTAATTAATTCCATATTATATTACATAAGATATATCTTGTACTACTATATCATTGTAGTTCACTGTGGGAGGTATAAAGCTTTTATACATATAACTTGAAAGAAAATAAAAAGAATAAAAGAATAAAAAATAAATAATAAATAAAAATGTAAGAATGTATAATTATGTTCCAAAAAATAGTAAGGGTAAGTCAAATATTATATTAATGAAAATCTTTTTGATTGCGATATAAAGTTTGATACATGAGATAAGATATCTCTATTTTGTAAATCATTACAACTATTACAACCATTTATTAGGACATTTATACACAGATGATTGTGAGTGTGATGATTCAAACTCCGTTGGAGAGTCTGGCGAATATTATTATATTGATTACATTCAGAAAAATAATGTGCAGCAGTTTCGAAAGATCCGTTACACTCACACATTGGAGATTCAATTAAGTGATCTTTATAACGATCATAATTTAGATTACTAGCATTATTTCTTAGTCAGGTGACGTTATCGGCGCTATTTTTAGCAGGGCTTTCCCGAACAATTCAAGTGGTCAAACTAGACATTTGGAACGGACTATGAATATGGGGATAGCGAGGTAACATAAGTGGAAGTGCATACAATACATACATTCATTAAAAAAATAAGGCTCTTCACGTGATGTTCCTTTAAGAGTAGAGATATTGATGCTGTACAATGCAATTGCGGGGCATGAACAGTTTACACTTATGCTACCACAATAGTTCCAGGGTTCAGCCCCTGACCCTGGTGATTTGGTACAGCATCTTGACATTGAAATAGTTGAAATTGCAACCCTATAACCATACCTGATCATACTGCAGTCCTAAAACGAGAAGCAGGCGTTGTTATTATAATGATTCTTTCCGCTTCAGTTTCAATGCGCTTAAATTTATATTTCATGACAATGTAACATTATTGACAAAAGAAAACATAAACCTGTCTGCCTATTTTCCATATATCATTTGTAAATTTATTTTCATAATTAAATCCATGTTTCCATTTGGTTGCATGGAGATTATTAGAAATATTATGTTTCGGTTAGCTTGGAATAATATTTGATAATAATAATTCGAGGTTCTTATATACCGCCTTATCACATACTGGTTTCACATATTCACAAATTATTATCCGTGGTTATAGGGCCTTTGGATCCAGCCAATATCTTTCTCAACTCCCTTTGGGGTGTAAACGTTTTGCCCTTGTATAGTGATTTTCTTTCGTCAACTCTGTGATTCTGTCTTGACTTAACTTCAGCTGGCTACAGGTCAATGAATGACAACACGTTTTATAAAGTTCTACAATTTATTATGTACCAAACGAAACAGTGAAGTAAATTAAACATGATGAATAGATATACACAATGCTACAGCCGTAAATCACTCGACCGGTCCATACAAAAACAGTATACCGTGTAACATAATGTCCTCTCAAAAATGTCCACCCGGTATCCCACCCCGGGGAATAAGTTTAAACCCACCCCGATAATATATTTCAACATGCCTACAACGGGAAAATAACCATCCCAAATTAACACCGAGATAATTCTACCCAAACATGCCTACAATGGGAAAATACCACCCAGCCCGGAATAATTTTGAGGTCTAAGGCCGAAATATACTCCTACATACCTGCCCTTTAATTGTATTTTAACTGATTTTCGGGATCCTCCGTGAATGTTTATGTTTAATCTTTATTATGTATAAATAAATATCCGCTTAGTAATCTTTTCACGTAGCATTATTGTCTTGATTGGCAAACTAAACTTCATCGGGTAAACAGCAAGTCTAGTCTTTATGTTATTTGATATGAAACAAGTTACTATCGATTGGTGAGGGTAAACTGTTTTTGCAATTCAGACCATGAACTGATCATCTTAGAAGGAGGAAAGCCATGTGCAGCTATCAAATGCGTGTTTCTTGTAATATTCATAGGTTCAACAAACACCGAACGAATATAGACAGGTTTAACGTGAAGTTTATACGCTACCATCCCAAGATAGCAGTCGTCAAAATTAAACTCCTTCGTGTACTGAGAAGCGAAGTGGATGTCAATGACGAAATTTATCGTCATGACCATGAATCCAGCAGACGCCATTGGGGGATACACACTATAGGGGTAGTCCTTCAGGGACACATACCACTTGGACGTTTCATTTCTGAAGGGAATATTATCTTTTGCTACATGACCCCCGAAAAAAGTTGGCAAAGTCACATTGGTTTCCAAAAACTCAACCAACCGTGTTGTAGATACCAGCATGTCATCATCGACAAAAATTACAAACTTGGAGCGGTTACAGTGCTGTACGGTCCAATGAATCGCTCCTATTGTCTTTAATGTGTTGTTATAGTAATTTTCACGAAATGACATTATGAGGATATCTTTATGGATGTTGTTTTCCTCCTCTACAGCCGACAGTACCGTTCGCTTATCTGGGGTCCCGACCAGAAACATTCTCACGCTGTTATACTTTTCTATCAAAGCCGAGTTTGCCCACGTCTTTCTGATCGCCGCCCGGCTTTCCACATTTGTAACAGCGGATTTGATGAGAAATATAAAAAATGGCGATCCATCAACGCATCTATCTACTTTGTAATGAGTAAAGGTGTATCCGTATACGAATACAGGTTTGTGCTCCACAGGTATATTTGACCTCAGCTTTTGCACTAGCTGAATCATATCGACATCTAGAGGAAACGAGAAGTTTGACCATGGAGCTTTGGTAGGTTGTGCTGATATATTTGTCCGCAGCAATGTTTTCAACGAATCGACTTGACGTAAGATGCCAGGTTTGCTTTCAGTTTGTATTCCTGTATCCGCTCTTATATATTTAGCGTTGGTCATATTTTCTTTTGATTTCCAGTGTTCTAGATAGAGGTAACGATTTCTGCTCATATTTAGACGATACACATTCCAGACACACATGCCTGTAGCGATAAGTGATACTAGGAATAATGTCCCTTTCAGCACCTTAAGAAATGTCGTCATTCTGAAAATACAGAAATAAAACCCATTTAATTTCTATAGAGCTGATATGCCTCATCTTCACTCGTTTTCAGTAAAACAAAAAAGGCTAGATTACAAAGATTCGGTTTTGGTTGAAAACAAATAGCACAGAGGACATGCATCGATTACCTTGATATTAAAGTAATTATCACAAAAAACAATCATCAACAATAATACTGTGGACTGTCAGCAGGACTCTTCCTATTCCGTCTTTGCGTATCGCAGAGTTATCTTCTCTTGAAAGCAGGTATTGTTTGTTACGTCATTGGTTTGTGTGAGAAAATTAAGTCGTTTTCTCAAAAATTGATGATGTTACTCTGCAATACGCAAAGACGGAATATACTGCAGATCAGTGAATTGTTCAAGTCCAAGGAACCTTTTCCATACAAAACTAGATAAATGTATATGAAAGAATCATAGACCAAAAAGTCAATGTCTCTCTCTCTCTCTCTCTCTCTCTCTCTCTCTCTCTCTCTCTCTCATCTTTCAACTTGTCGCACATGGATCGAAAGATCTATTCTTTATGCACTAGGTGGTATCAATAAGATGTTTCAAAGATCATGACGGAAAGCATTTTCCAACTTTTTCTATACCAACCCATGTTTTTTTATGGAAATTAGGCCATGAGAAATGTCACATTACTTGACGAGATCTCGCGTTACCGAAGGTATTTCCCAACGTTATGAAGTAGCCCGGCGAGATTTTAGTCACGTGGCATTGGAAGGCGGGGCTATCAAAAAACTAGAGTAAAACAGAGTAAGTTTGGGAAAATATGTTTTTAGTGATTGTATTAGTTGTTTGAGGCATGGTAGGTATGTTCAACTTGTGCATAAAGAATAGATCTTTCGATCCATGTGCGACATGTGTGTGAAAGTGACGATTTGTTTCTAAAATATCAGTTTGAAGTGCGCTCCGGGCACGGGTCGCATATTTCCCGCATATTATAGAGGGCCGGAGTTCTGACGTTAATCGACGACAGACCGATATGAAAAAAGTCGATAAAACGTCAGAATAATACGGACTACTCACAAAGTGATTAGCTTACCTGACCTTTTTCATTCTCACATGAATTAACATTGGTGCGTTCAATTCTTCACCAATTATACACAAGTATACCCTTACTGTTTCTAAACTTTTAGAACATCGTGTATGGTTTCCTAATTAGTTGTTGTTGGGTGTTCGAAACAATCTATTTACAATAAATATACATATATCACTTCACACATTAAACAACTCTTGCACATCATCACCCATACGTTTTACCGATAATAAATTTCATTTCATTCACCGAGCCGTGTAATTAATTTATAGATTATAAATCACTTGAATAAGAATTAAATAACAACATGCGACGCACTCACCAGGATGCTGTGTGCAAAGAACTTCTTCAATGTAAGTCGGACGACGTATATCATGTACCGGGTTCTCCTTAAAGTGTTATAAACTGTGTCCGTCAAGAGTTGATGTACAATTAATGGGCGAGTTCGATCATCAACTTTACCCCATAGTCGGATGGTAACATTCAATGTGCTTACGCATGCTGGTAAGCAGCAACCAATCACTGTCTTGCTTTCAAATAATCACGCATGCGCAGACGATCCCTAGTTGCTCTGGTCCGACCAAAGGAAATCGGTAATAATAATAATAATAATAATAACAATGATAGTTGCCAGACATGCGCACCGTAACTCCTTGTTACTAAAGTGAGTTCGATCGTACTCTAATTAGACCACAGTCGTTATAGTTGATGATCGAACTCGCCCCATATGATGAGTTGAATGACAAGTGCTGCGATTCGTCAGTTGATTAAATTACAACTCTGACCATTCAAGTTAGTACAGAACATGCAGCACACAAAAACGAGCACGCCAACACACAATCGATGACGTCACACACATGTGTACTTTCAGGTAAAATACATGCATGACCCCATACGTGTATATACACACATAGTACATAACGAACACATGATAAACGACGGGTTTTAAATAATTAAAAAAAATCCTTTTACGCTCAAACCTAGCTTGTTCTGAACAAGATTTGTCTTAAAAACATTTTCAAAACAATTCATTTCAAGTAAATCCAGCCAACCTGTCTTTTTGACCCTTCTTCTTCAAGATACTCCAATAAGTCGTCCGCAGTATAAGATCAATGATTTCTCTTTTACTGAAATAAACTTTGCTTTTTTGTCAACCCGATTTACTATGTCAACTTCATGTGCTTTAGAGAAAACACCTTAATTGAATATATTGACTAAGTTTGCTTACATCAGTCAGCGTATCAGTATGTGCTTGTCAACAGATTAACACATAGGATCACAGTATCACATTGTACATTTTTACTAAAGGAGTTGAAAGATCCCTGTCCCACTGCACTACTATTTTTCCTTTATACATTTACCTCCCCTTAACTCTGTTTATTTGAAACTGCAGTACATTTGGGCCAGGACACATCTGTTGACCAATTTTCTCAATCAGGCAAGCGAGAAAGTATAACAATCTGAAGGCCTGAGTTAAAAATCCCGGTGTAGCCGTACTGAACTATTAACGATAAAACACTATTGTGATTATATTTTGTTTATCAATCTATTATTATTAGTCATGCCAACAGTTTCCAACACTTAGTTACAATGCTTAGCAGTGGTAGGGCATCCTTAAAGGGACAGCATGGTGAAGGTCAAATACTGCAGGAATGTATCAAGTGAGTCTCCTGATTCAAAATACATCAAATTGTATAATTACTACTAGAGGGGGTCCTTTATCCTGTCTAACCGACATTTTATTCGGTAGTAAGCTTGCGTCCTTCTGATTTTTTTTTTTATATCAGGGTCGAGGCATATTTATTCCTAGGACGGGACCGTTTTAAAATCTTTTCCAAAAACCAAACTTTACATGACCTTTGGCTTTTCTGAAAAATATCTTCCCCATGCCTACAGTTGTTTTAAAATAGTCAATGTCCCTTTACAAGAGGATAGAAAATTGCAATAAAGAGGTTATATCGTCATAAAAAACATACGATACATACATGTTCCATATCTGACATATTGAAGAGGTTTAGCAACCTTGGGGGTACGTGTACGGGTACATGTAACTTATCCACGTACAACTAAATTTCGTTAAAACATAAATGACCGTTAGCGTGTACGTGTAGCATGTATATGACATCAACTGATTCCATTAAAAAATCCATTCAAACATCAGAACTGATACAAATCGCTCAACAACAATGGCAAACCATTGTCAGATTTCCACTATTGAAGACGACGACGAATAGCTTCAAGCTATCGGCACTTATCTAGGACACTGTCACATCAGACACGCACTGAGTATTTCACTTAGAAACTCTGACAAACGAACAATACAAGACATTATTTCGTGCTAGACACCTAATTGATTTTGCCAGAAACGGGTATTGTGTGTGACGACTTAAATAATGGCCTGAGTGTTAGAGGTGTATGAACGAAAAAGAAAAGGGAAAGCAGGTAAACATGTACCGCATGGTCTTGAATAAGGTGGTTAAAAGAAAAATCAGAAATCATTGAGTTTTCATAATCTAATATTAGATTATCCGATTCCGTGATTTAACAAGCATGGTTTTTTTTGTTTTTGTTTTTTTCTTTTCTATGCATTCACTTAATGAAAATAGTGTTTAATTTCATTAATATTTCATTTGAAAGAAAAGTTTGTCCCGTGGTCGTGTAAGCATGGAAAACAGGAAGGTATTTCCGGGCCCATTTCCCTACTCCTAACCCGGTAATAAACATGTCCCTACTCTTAACCCGGTAATAAACATGTCCCTACTTTTAACCCGGTAATAAACATGTCCCTACTCTTAACCCGGTAATACACATTTCCCCTTCTCTTAACCCGGTAATAAACATGTCCCTACTCTTAACCCGGTAATAAACATGTCCCTACTCTTAACCCGGTACATGTCCCTACTCTTAACCCGGTAATAAACATGACTCTCCTCTTAACCCGGTAATAAACATGTCCCTACTCTTAACCCGGTAATAAACATTTCCCTACTCTTAACCCGGTAATGAACATTTCCCTACTCTTAACCCGGTAATAAACATTTCCTGATCTTTCATAAAGTACTGAGATCCCAACGAAAATGAGTTCGTTTGAATATCGGCATATGTACAACTATAGCTTATGATGGTAAATAATTACTGTATGTGTGGTTGTGGTAAGTATTTGTGGACTTAAATACAATCTTATTCCTTGGGTTCAAAGTGGGATAAGGAATTGCCCAAATACACTCCCTCCATTGGGGCTCTTTGTCACTACTTGTGTTTATAGATGATTCTGATTCGTTTCGAAATCGTCACGTGACGTTATCGGCTCTTTATTTAATAGGGCTTTCCCGTACAAGTGGAAAGGTCAAACTGGACATTTGGAATGGACTTTTGGGATGGCAGGGAAACACATTCAATGACTTAAATATTCTTTGACGGCATGTTCCTTCTAGTAATACACAGACAGCTTTTGGTTTGTTTGTGTTTTACGTCCTATTAATAGCTATGGCCATTTAAGGACGTGCCAGGTTTTGATGGTGGAGGAAAGCCGGAGTTCCCAGAGAAAAAAATCACCTACCTGCGGCCAGTACGTATGCCTGGCTACTGCCCCATGTATGCCTCGAACCCGCGACCCATTGGTGGAGGGCTAGTGGTAGCCGAATGTCAGACGCTTGGCCACTGCGGTCCCTCTTCGTGGTGGGAAATAGCGTAGTCACTCCCGAAGTCCACAATGTAAGATAATATACATTAAAATAACAAAATGGAAGCCATAGGACTCGTTCATTCGATGCGCATCATAGTATGTACTTTGAAACAAATTTGTTTTTAATATAGTGTGTTTCATCTCACCTGGCTGAGCAGGATTAGAGTTTACCTGCTTGCTATCAGCAAATACTTTAAAAGCGATTAGACCCACATGTACATTTTAAAAAAAACAGGATATGAAAAAATGTGAGAAATAAGAACTATGTAAGATGTCTCAGTTCTCTCGAGCGCTAAATCAACCTTAACGTAACAACATGATTTAAAGTTTGGTAGTAGACGCACAAGGGCTTGTAACAAGTACATAACATTAGATATGGACACTTATAACCAATATATGAAATATAAGCAATACGTGTGTTCGTATATATTTCTTTAAATATTTGTTACAAACGCCTGTGATTGACGTTAATGTTAATGAAAAGGCAATTTGAACACACTACCATAAATAGGTAAAGTTGAAATTTGATCCCTTACATGGCCTCCAACCTAAAGATACCGGAAACTTTCGCATGTGAGAGATTCGTATTCATGCTCAATTCGAATTCCTTACTGATTACAAACGGGGCGAAAGCTCTGTTGTGGTGAGCGTTTCCGGGTAAACCGTGTATGAGTTATTCATAATAATGTAAAGAAAAAAATGGGCTCTTAATAGTAGTGATTCCATAATGCGATTTCCAAAATCCTTCTTCTTCACGACCTTTGATAAACCCCTGGTCTTGTTGGGCCCCGTTTGTAACTCCACTGACGTTCATCAACAGGCTGTGCTGAATATGAAATGCCATGTACATGTATAAATCAGTGGAAGCTGATTTAAATTACAAATGCAAATTTTAGCTTACGTTGCCTTTTGGTCCCTATCGAGATTTAAATCACGACCTCTGACCCCAAGGCATTGAGTGTTGAGGAGATACATTGTTGAAATTACCCAATCAGAGGTAATTGCATTAATATTCAATCTCAATTAGCAAGCTGAACAATCTGAAGTCCAGTGTTCGAACCCCGTTGTGTTTTTACATTCAGGATAATTTTGTTGATTTTGTTTTATTGATTTTTTCATAGTTATTTCTCATATAAAAGACCTGTAGATTTTTTTTTCCAGAAATGAAATTTCAAAGCTATTATAATGCCGAATAATGACAAAGACATGTTCAAATTCATAGTTACAGTTTTTGGCAGTGGCATGGGAATCCTTAATGTGACAGTTTTGGCAGTGGTACGGGGATCCTTAAAGTTACAGTTTTTGGCAGTGGTATAGGGATCCTTAAAGTTACAGTTTTTGGCAGTGGTACGGGGATCCTTAAAGTTACAGTTTTTGGGCAGTGGTACGGGGATCCTTAACGTCACTGCCTTGGCAGTGGTACGGGGATCCTTAAAGTTACAGTTTTTGGCAGTGGTTTTGGGATCATTAAAGTTACAGTTTTTGGCAGTGGTACGGGGATCCTTAAAGTTACAGTTTTTGGCAGTGGTACGGGGATCCTTAAAGTTACAGTTTTTGGCAGTGGTACGGGGATCCTTAAAGTTACAGTTTTTGGCAGTGGTACAGGTATCCTTAAAGTTACAGATTTTGGCAGTGGTATGGGGATCCTTAAAGTTACAGTTTTTGGTAATGGTACGAGGATCCTTAAAGTTACAGTTTTTGGCAGTGGTACGGGGATCCTTAAAGTTACAGTTTCTGGCAGTGATACGGGGATTCTTAAAGTTACAGTTTTTGGCAGTGGTACGGGGGTCCTTAAAGTTACATTTTTGGAAGGGGTACGGGGATCCTTAAAGGTACAGTTTTTGGCAGTGGTGCGGGGATCCTTAAAGTTACAGTTTTTGCCAGTGGTACGGGGATCCTTAAATTAAAGTTACAGGTTTTTGGCAGTGGCATGGGGATCCTTAAAGTTACAGTTTTTGCAGTGGTACGGGGATCCTTAAATTAAAGTTACAGGTTTTTGGCAATGGTATGGGGATCCTTAAAGTTACAGTTTTTGCCAGTGGTACGGGGATCCTTAAGTTAAAGTTACAGGTTTTTGGCAATGGTATGGGGATCCTTAAAGTTACAGATTTTGGCAGTGGTATGGGGATCCTGAAAGTTACAGTTTTTGGCAATGGTACGAGGATCCTTAAAGTTACAGTTTTTGGTAATGGTACGAGGATCCTTAAAGTTACAGTTTCTGGCAGTGATACGGGGATCCTTAAAGTTACAGTTTCTGGCAGTGGTACGGGGATCCTTAAAGTTACAGTTTTTGGCAGTGCTGTGGGGATCCTTAAAGTTACATTTTTGGCAGTGGTACGGGGATCCTTAGAGTTACAGTTTTTGGCAGTGGTACGGGGATCCTTAAAGTTACCGTTTTTGGCAGTCGTGATAAAAAAAATAAAAACGAAAACAAAACAAAATTGGAAAAAAATGTTTCTTGGTACAGATCATTTGCATTACCTACATAACGGCTCGTTTCATATCACATTATTGGACACGTTTAATACAATAAATATGAAATGGACACTTATGTATGATCATCTTCTAATCACATCCTTTTAAAATCTTAGTAGTGGAACATGATTCAATGCAAAATACGTGTTGTGTGGATGTAATTTAGATTTTATGGAATGGACAGTCAGGAACTCTATTTCCTTCCACAATACTGTTGTATAGGCAAGTTGGCAATGTTGAATATATCTCAAATTTTGTGGAAAAACATTGCATGTTTCTCTAATTTAAAGTGTCACTTCGCTTACTTCATGTACATTGTATATCAATATGACATTTATGGTGTGAAAATAAAGGTAATTTGGTATACACTTTCATCATTAATTTTCAAAATAGCATTCGCCTGTGACAGTTATCTGTCATTTTGTAAGGATGTACCCGTTTCTCAACCTGGTGTTATGCAAGGAGGTCCACTACAGTTATCAGTAGTTATAACGAATAATCATATATGCAGTTATTGTTCATTTTTATGTATCTACAATTATTGGCAAAACAATACAAAAAATTGAAGTGGGGGCCGAAAGTTGACCACGCTGTTTATATATACTGAAGAAAGGAAGTCACCTTGTCTGCAGAATACCAGAATAATGTTGATACTAAAACGACGTTTCAGTAAATAAGTTTTTTAATAATTTTAATGTTAATATACCAAACACTATGTTTCAAGAATTGAATGATCAATTATCTTATAGTGAAATTCCTTAAAGCTAGCACTAAATTGAGTAACTCGAAGGATTGTGGTCCAGATCTACTGATTAATGAGTATTTTATTAAGGGTAAAGATGTACTTATGCCATGTCTTGTGGTACTGTTGAACAATGTTTTTAAATCTGGTTTTTATCGTACATCATGGTCGGTAGATACTATAATGCCTATGTTCAGGAAAGGAGACAGGAACGATACCAATAATTACAGAGGAATTACAGTAGTAAGTTGTCAAGGGAATTTTATTTACATCAATTATTCAATGATACTCATTATGTTTTAAGAAGCTATTGACGCTAGATTTGGTTTTAAGAAGCATTTATCAACTATTGACGCGAGATTTGTATTCTACACACTCATAGGTAAAACCCTGAAAAATAGAAAAATACTGTATCGCTGTTTTATTGATTACAAAAAAGCTTTTGATTTCGTTAATAGACAGAATATGTGGTACAAACTTATCAAAGAATGTTAAGAAGGAAAGATGTTGAATAGTATAGTAGTCTAGTGGTAGGACGCCGGGCTCGTGACCGAAGGGTTGCGGGTTCGAGTCACGGCACGGCACGTTGTTGTATCTTTGAGCAAGATACTTAACTCTGCTTGTTCCAGTCTACTCAGCTGTAAATGAGTACATGGTTGGGCAGAGCTAGAATTGTTGAATGTTAGCTGTGAGCGCCGAAAGGACAGCACCGACTGTACTAGTGCTTGAAATAATGTTCACGATCAGCATCATCACATGTTTAAAGTTGTTTTTCTTTGATCCGTAATTAAAAAAAAAAAAGTACCAGATTAGATGTACGAATACAGAAATGTTATCAAAATTTGCTCTGGATCAAACTTTGGACGATGGTAACCCATTGTGTAGGATGCCGACCCGCTACCCACATTTCCGATGGCAGATGGATGGGGCCACAAAGCGGAAGTAGAGTAAACCGGGGAATCCTTAGACTGGAAGAATGAAGAGATTTTGTCTTAATTTACTCTGGAGCAACTTTTAGACAACGGGACTTAATTTTGTATAAGCGAGGGGAAGGTCAAGGTCACGCGGATCTGGTCAGTCGGGTGGTTTTTTGGCTCCGTTAACTTTATCAAAATTACCTATTTTCGAACGTACTGATCATGCTGCTTTTTGGTATATGGCTATTTGAAGAAATGTAATTAGATATTCTTCAAGAACTTTCAAGGAAAATTTTGTATTATTTATGTAACTGAAATACAAATTCAAGACAATGGACTGACCACTAGTACGTGACATCTGTTAACGCGCGCCTATTGTGTGTACGACTTACCTGTACAGGTATAACTTATATATACATTCTGTAGTGGGCTATACAACCATGCCGAGTTCGAGAACCAGTGTCGGTGTTGGTAAGGCAGGAACAAAAACCAGAAGTTCAGACTTTTCTAGTGAATCCTCAGGAAGAGACAGGATTGATGAGATTTTTAAAATGATCTCAACTCTTGTGACAAAGTCGGATATGGATACAATCATGGACAGAAAGTTAGAAAGATTGAGAGAGGATATCAGGGAGGAAAACCGTGTGCTCGTCGATCAGCTCGAAGGAAGAATTTTCGACCTCGAGAAAGAGAACGACAGCTTGAAAGAGAAAGTGGAAAAATTAGAAGAACGAGCCACAGAATCAGACAGTATGAATACTGGACTAGTGTATAAAGTAAATGATTTGGAACAACAAGGCAGGAAAAATTCAATCAGGATTGTTGGCCTTAGCGATACAAGGGATAAAGAAACAATTGAGGAGTGTGTAGAGAAAGTAGTGACATTTGTAAAGGATTCTTTGGAGGTGGATATACAGAGCAACGACATAGACAT